ACTTATCCAGACTTCCTAATGGCTACTATTGCTGTATTATTTGTGATCCTTGGAAAAGGACTTTAAACTTTCTTAAACTCTTCCTCCTTCTGTGGAAATTACGAGAGCTTTGTAAACTCCTCCCCTCACTGTTATCAGTGGAGGCAGTAGCAAGAGTCCTAATATAAAGTGCTGTTTGTGCTATTCTTTTATGCCTACCTAAAACAGTCATGGTCTGGCAAGGGACATACCAGCTAGGGGCTGGCAAATAAACCTGGGAATTTCATCCTAGAAACGCTATGCTCTAGAAGAGTACAATGGGATCAGCTGTGCAAGGTTAGATCCCAGTTCCTGCTGTCAGGTTGGGTCATACCCTGTTTCAGCAAAGCTGTTAGTGGGATCCCACACTATTCAGCATGTTCCCTGAATGTGGACCTTGAAGTGCAGTTCGCTCGGCTCATTGCATGGAGACCAAAGGGAGCTTTGTTTGTTGAGTTTTTGATATGCTCAAGGGATGTGAAAATTGAATAGAAATCTTGCTGGCTCTGCTGATGCTTTATGATTGACTGTGAAAATCCTGTTCCGTGGAGTTGCAGAGGGTAAACTTTACTTCATTTACTGTCATTGGATTAACGAGTTCATTGATAGTTTGCTTGTAGAGTTCCCAGAGAAGAAAGCAATCAACCACATTTTGTCAGAATGAAGTCCTCTAATGTGCTTTAATAAGACAGAGTAAAAATTTAACCTGTCAGTCACCTTTTGCTGCAGAATGTAATCTGAATACTAAACTATCCTGCATTCTGTGTTTTTTTGAAACTCAGTGCTCAGGAGAAATAGAGGGGCTTTCTCTGAGGTCCTGCAGTAGCTCGAAGTGTGTTCTGGGGGAGGCTGGCTGCAGGGTGGAGGCCTAGAGGACCAGATGAGGGGCATGCATTTCTCTATGCTGATCCATCTTGCTGTGCAAAGTGTGTGTCCTGAAATCTGGAGCATAAGCTTGATTTCAAATAATTTTTGTAGCCTGAAGGAAATTGGTCTTTAAAAGCTCCAAAGAGGCAAAAATTTCACCTCTTTCTCTTGGCTGCTTGCCATTGTCTGTCTTCTGTAGGCTATGAAGATGCTAACTGAATGCAGTGCCTCGTATTCTTGAGTCTTTATTTCCTCAAGCACTTATTTGTTAGGAAAGAGGCTGTTCAGGGTTCAGCATCTCCTTTGATCTCTCTGCCATAAGGCCTTCCGGAATGCTTATGCAGAAGCATGGGACTGAAGCTGAAGAAACACTAAAGGTGGGGTAGGAGCTTGCTTGCTGTGCAGTCTCTAAGTCTTCTGCTCCACTGGAGAGACAGCAAGGAGGCTGTGTCCCTTTTCTGAGGTTGAGCAGAAAGCGTTTCTGTTTGTCTTGAGCCTTTGTTAAACGCAGGAAACTCTGAGTCCTGTACAATGTTAACTTCCCAGGAGTCCTTAAATACACAAACCAAGCAGTGAAAGGGAATTGTCTTTTCTTCCTTTAGCATTTCCCCCCCCATATGATGTACATATTCTGTAATGTACTCAGCTGGTAAAAGGGAGTGGTCAGAACACCACCCTAGGACTTAATTTCTTTTGCCCTATCACTGCCCTCCCATAGAGCACTCCAAATATCTGTCCAGTTGACCCAGTTTGTAAAAGGGAGACAAGGATATTTCTCCTGTTCCCGGAGATTTCTTTTTTCTCTTAAGACTCATTAGTTCCTTTAATGAGTTGAAGAGCTCCAAGTGAATGCAACACAGTAGGGTTATTAATGGAAGTTTTGTATGGGATAGCAGGGAGCCTAGATCTAAATCATCAAATCAGGTGAGGGTAGTGATGATTGCTAACTAGGTCCCATTGCCTGCTTTGAAAGTAAAGCAAGCCCTGCAAATTTGTAGGAGTTTTATTGCTTTAAAATACACCTTGGCAATGCAAATAGGGTCTAGTAATGTCAGGTTTATTGTTGTGATTGCATCTGTATAGGAAGCCACTTCACTGTTTGCAAGTAATTAATTAATTCATAGGTGTAACAATCCAGCCCATCACCCTGTGCAAGGAGAGGTGAACACTGTGTAGTCAGTCCTTGCTGCTCTCAGCAAGCTTTCAGTCTTTTCCATGGCCTTACACAGGAATTGCTGCAGTGGACTTACTGGGCAGGGCCAGGTCTGGCTTTTAAGGTGTCTAGCAGAGACTCAGCACCTTGTTTGTACTGTACCTCTGCAGCAGGAGGCCTGTGCGTATGCAGGGATTGCAAATGCTGTTTGAGAGAGGATTAAGAACATGATTAGAAAGTTGTAGACTGGGGAAATGTGCCCGCTGTTCCACTTCTAGTGGGAAGCAAACAGTAGCTGGGACTTGACAACTCTACTACCTTGGCCAGCCGTAGCTATCAGTCTGTCACTGCTCTGCCTTGACTGCTCCCCCTCTGCGAGCTCCTTCTTCCAGCTGTCCTCTAGCATCTCCTAGCCTGAAGAGTATCAGAAATACTGCTCCAAAAGGCCATTTATTTAACCTGATATTTTTATCACTAAAAATCAATACACATACAGTATTTGTTTAAAACTTTGTCTCTAATGGCATAATGCTCTGGGAAAGCTCACAGGGTGCACATGGTTAGTACAGCTGATTGAACTGAATGTACATGGTATTGATACATCCTGACAGTGCATCTGTCAGCTGTCATTAAGGCCTGGAAGTGGTGAATGTCTGAAGGTTCGATCAGTTAATGCCTCTGCACTCACATGTATTTGTATTGATGGGGTTTTGTCCTCTTTTTCTCCATTACGTTGATCCCTGGGCTAGAGTTTGTTGCTCAGAACACTCGCTAGCTGTTCTCTGTAAAGTACAACTCACTGCCACCAGAAGTTGAAGTCTAAGTGTCATCTAATTGCTAACTTTCCTTCAGGTACGTCATCAAGCTTTTAATGATGGAACTTACACTTTGCTATAAATATATTTTTTTTTCTTGTAATTTAAATACTTGCTAACTTAAAGCTTGGAAAAATCTGTGATGACTTCCCTCACCTCAAGTCACTGTTCAGTTCACTGGAAAAAGATGATACTGTGATGAGGTATACAAAGGAACCAAACCATTAGGTCCTAAATGGGGCACATTTGCAGACAACCCATGCACCCTTGCAATTGACACCTGACTTCCATATACCCCAGAGAACTCAGCTATAAAATCGAATGAATGCAGCAGCTGATTTGACTGTGAAGAGACCGCCTCGGAGCTGAACTGCTTTGCAATTATAGTTCTACTTGTATAAAAGATATACCAGTTGGAAATAAATGCTTGCAGTTGTAATAAACACAGCAGTCAAAATATCTCCAAAGGCTGGAAGGATTCTGAGTGAGCAGCTGAGATGATTGAGTAATTTAAATAAATGTAGAGCCGGTGAAAACAAAGCTGGATCTGAAAGCAGCATTTTCTCTTGCTTTGATTTTATTGAAGGTGGGTAAAGCAGAAGTTAGAGATCTAAATGAGCCCAATGTCAGGCCCACTCACATTCTGTGAAAATAAGCTCAAGTCTGGGGACTTGCCAGTTTGTCCTTGTAAATTTGTTGAGTGCTTTCTTGATGTTTTATTTCAAATGCATTTCCCTTTCCCTCAAGAAAAATCTGACATAATCAATATGCATGGTGTATAAAGTTGAGGGGGAAAATTGGAACCGAATTTCTTTTTAATACAGAGAAAGAGTCTATGAGAAAGTCTGCTGATGACCACTTTAATCAAAATATGCAGGAAATGCAGACATTTCCATGGGTAATTGATGAGACATGGGGAAAAAAGGGAGAAGAGTTGAATGATTATGATCATCCAAAAGGAAAAATCTTAAAAGTCTTATTTTTTGTTGCTTCTCAATATTGTCTAATCAGTGTGGATGATACAGAAGAAATAGAATAGTTTATTGATTGGCCAAATTAGTATAGAATCATAATCTTGCTTGCTGTTGAGATACTTAACTTGGCAGTATCGTTATACCACTTTGAGGTGGAAAATTGTTAGATGAGGTCTATGCAGAAAAGGGAGCAGGATTTGTTTCTGGGTATTTTCATTTGTTTGTAAAGATTTCTTACTCTTTAAGTCTTGACACAACATATTGGAACTGCTAGCTATGTAAATGTATCACCTAGATGTCTTCCATAACAAAGGACAGTATTTATGAGCTGCCCTGCTAAACTGTCACATTTCCATTGTTGCCTGACATTTGTACTGTAACTCTTGTGGTCTGCTGCTTAATTCCTTTGTCTCTGACAGACACCCATTTAGGAGCCTTGGAAAATACAAAGTGGAGCCAGTTAACATTGAATGATCTTAAAACTAGGCTGAACTTTTGTTTTCATCGGGGAGGAAGATGATGCCATTAGCTAATTTGGTTGATCAATAGCCCTGCTTGCGATAAGGTTTCAAAGCTTGTGGCTAAAAGCTGATTGCACTGGGTCCAAAATAAATTTGATCTATTGGTTTCCACAAATGTAGCATAGCCTAGGATGATGCTTCAGTGCTGATGCTTAACTAATTTTAATAATGCTGACAGATTAGCCTGGTGCCTGCTGTGAGGACACTGTAATACATGAACCCTCGGCAGCAGAACACTTACTTAAGATGTTTTTTAGAGTAGCATGGAGCTGTCACTCTCTAACAAAGAGCAATCATGAAGGTTCATTATTCTGAGACTGGGAAGCATTGCAGTCTTTGCTGAGCAAGTTTAATGACATCTTTCATTAATGCAAACTTTGATCCTGGTTTCCTAAAAAGAGAGAGGTACTGGCAAGAAATTAGACTGGTTTGTTAGTTTTGGCTGGAGAAGTAAGTGTTACTGAAAAATGATGAAAAGGTCTGTGGCCGAAGTGCAAAAAAGTGTGCAAGGCATGTTTGTGATAAGCATTTGGGTATGCAGTTTCAGAAAGGATCCAGCCATGTTCTTTCTTTATGCTGGGTGAGACCATATTCTGCTGGGAAGGTGGGCTAAAATTTAACTGATGCTCATCTCTATTTCAGTGACTATATCATGGCTACGGGGCCAACAGAGGTCACACAGTCACCTGAAACAGGAGAGACAGTTGAAGAGTGCACAGGTAAGCAGTTGTTCTCCGAATGTATAGCTGATTTGAAAGTCAAGATTTACTTTCTTCAGGTCGGGGGGTCTGTAGTGACTTGTTTTGCAGTGTTGTTTTGCTTTTTGTAGTGTAAAAAAAAATGCTGTGTGATTTTGTCAGCTGGCAATATTATGGGAAAGATCTTTTAACGTGCAGTACTGGAGGGTTGTAACCTGATGGAGGATATTCTTTTCCGATTCTGGCTTGGATTTTCAAAAACAGGATGTTAGAGCTTGAAGGGCTGATTGTTGTGCCTGCTTTGATGGATCCTGCAGAACTGGGAGCTGAGCCTGTTAGCCAGCCTCTGTCTGTGGGAGCTGTACCCCCACTGCAGCCTCATTCTCTGCTTCTGGCCACAGACAACCATTTGTTACTTATTCTTTAATCTAGTGGCATGGGCTGATGCAAACAGCCATGAGGGAATGGAATAACAGGCAAGAAAGGACAATATCTCACTTATGCCAAAGAGTTGTCTTAAAGGAAATCCCCTTTGCCAGCGTTCAGACTATTCTTGAGGAGATAGGTGAATATGAAGAACAGCATCGTGGCTGAGGCATTTCAGGAGAAGCGGCTGTCATATCACTTGATTTTTTTTCCTTTTCTTTGGCTAATGTCTTGCAGTCGTCTTAAATGTTTGTGTTTCAAAGGTCATCTTGCTTTATCCTTTAGAAATACATTTGCCACCATCAGAATATTGGTAGAACAGAGAAGCAAATGGCAAAGTGACTGTTAGTTGAACTTTGCACGGCAGATAGATAGGGGTGACGAAAGTGTAATGATGGATGCTCAGCAGTGACTGCTTTCTTAAATTTATAATTTAGTTTATCACATAATCCAGCGCTATCCATGACATACCAGTGAGCTTGTGTGAAACCCATGCATGCAAATTTTGTACTCGGGTTCACTAGAAGATTCAGAAAATGGATCAAATTGTGACCTGGGTGACAGGAAAGGCAGGAGATGGCTTGCTGTCTTAAGCGTTGGCTCCAAAATCACCAGTAATAGTTCTGTCTCTAACTGAACCAAAATTTAAAAAACTTAAAAGCTGCTGCGCTATTGCTGAAGTATTCAAGAGACACTTGACTGGACCTGGATAAAGCCATTTTAGGATCTTTTGTTTACTTCCCATGTAATGTAGGATTGCCTCACCTCTTCCTCCTCATAGCTTTAATTGGCTTGTGATGCAAAGGCTCTAGGAGGCTAAAATTCCCAGCCTTCACAGTCTAGTCAATTAGACTAATTTCTTGAGGTTTACTGTATTGTCTGACTAGTGGTAGAGGGCTTCCGATGCCTGCTGCTCCTTCTGGATGGCAGTAACCAGGTCACTGTCCAAAAACTGTCAGCACCCAATGTTAGCCTTACTGAATTCCATGATTTAATTGTCTTTCTGGCAATATCAGGTATTTTTTATGAAGCTAGAATCATGGTATTTTCTGAGAATCTTGTCTGTGGGGTTTTTTAATCATGTGTTTTTATTGGTGAAAGTATCTAGTCCTTGGATTGTGGAAAATGTGTCCTGAACACACCTTAGGAAGTCAGAGAGTATGGAAGATCCCAAAATTAACTGTTTAATTTAAATATGATAATTGAGCTCCCAAATCAGATGTTCCCTATGCTTTTTACAGTCTCAATTTGGCACTGGAAAAAGCATCTTTTTCTCTTCTATCTTGTTATAGGGAAGAACCATGCAAAGAGCAGAAAGACATGCATTAATTCTCTCTTTGCATAGGAGAAACAGTGAAAGAGGCAGTACACAAACCAGTAAAAAATACAGAATAAACAAACTTTACAGAGAGAGCAAAATGGTTAGTCCTGCTCCTCTTCTGTTATAGTGGGCTAAGTCATAGTTAGTATAAGCAAATAATTTTTGGGAATGCTTTTGCTTTTTAGGGCAGTAGCCTTTACATTTAATCTTTTATTTTTAATGCTATAACATTGAAGATTGGTAACTGTAAGAATTCAAAAATCATGAGTCATTATTCATCAGTGGGTGAAGGGGAAATAAGCATAGTTGTCTGAGCTTGGATTTTCTCTCCTTGCTTTGACTGGATTTTTGATATGCAATGAATTTTTTCCATTTTAAGTAATAAGATCCTCTTGTATATTATTAGTTCAAGTATCACAGAGCACTCTACCAATTTAGTGATATGTTGGGCTACTTCACAGTGCACTGAAATGTAGGCACCTTTAAATTAAATGTGGCATCCTTTTAATGGTGTGCGAAACCAGTGCACAACTGTTCGCAGCAGGAAACGAATATGAACACCGTCTTTCTGAACTGTGTCTTTATTGACAAATGCTCTCACATAGAGCAGTCCCACAGTTTTCATATGCATGCAGCACTAAGTGTCTAGTAGTGATTTTATCTTTTTTTTGTGTAATAATATGGCAAGTGCCCATCTTCTGGAACTTCAGGGAAGCTTACTGTTTTCTCCTTCATCTGAAACAGCTGAAGGCATGCAGCTGAGCAGAGCGTGGCTGAAGAGGAATTATTGCTGGCGGGGGTGTGCCGTACACATCAGTAATAAATTAGAAGCTAGAGAAGGCACTGAAGTAACTGATGTGTCTGCATGAGAGGACTCTCTGTTGCGCAATGATACCCGAGTGTTGTCCCATGCCATCTGAGGTTTATGCACTGGCAGTGTTTGCAAATCCTTTCCATGGGCTCAATTCTAAAGTTAGCACCACTTCTGATCTAAACAAGTATTCGGAGTAGTACCTTGGCAATGTTATCCTTTGTGGTAGGACTTATATCTGTTTCTCTAGACACTTCTTTTTTTGTTGTTATTGTGTTGTGGTTTGTTTTTTGTTTTTTTTTTAAACATTCCCCTGGTTCTCTGGAAATACCAGCATCTAATTAAGCTCATCAGTAATGCTTGCACTAGAATCAAACTTGCGTTCTGTCCATACCACTGTCAGCTGACCAGTGTACATGATGATGTCCTTGTTTTTCATTTAGACTGCATTTAAGTTGCAGAGCTTTCTGCACGCAGCAGTCTGCCATTTTGTTCTTTGAGTCATTGGACTGTGTTAGCAGACATTGCTGAATTGATAATTTTGGGGCACTGCTTTCATGAAACTTTTAAATCTTTTGTTTTGCTCATCTAAAATAAACCAACTCAGCTTTGACAAGTTTCCTGGGAGAATACCATATATGTTGTCTAATTGCTGATATGAATGGCAGTAATGGTAGGGAGACCTTTCGAAAGACTCTGTACAGGACACTCAACACGCTTGTTTTATTTGAGAGGCGCTATGGTCTTACGGTTGCTGTGTGACCTGTCTTCTCTTAGCAGCTCTTGCTATGGGTGCAGCATGAAACTTATTGAGCCCCGTGAGAGTCTTAGCAAATCCAGAAGCCTTGGGGTCAGCTCTGTAGTCTGGGGCAGGCAATATAACCTGTATGTTTTCTGTGACTCTCTCATTCAATTACTGCCTGATAAGCAGCAGTGGAAGATAAAAAGGTCTTCCACTGATAAACCCTCCATAGAAGCACCACGTTCCATTATTATTCAGATGAGTGGGACTCCATTGATAGTTTTGCTTTACATGGTTTGAAAGATAATTTGGTCTCAGTGACAGCCCAAGTCACTTGAAAAGCAATGTGCAGGTCTTCCCTGGCTGCTACTGCTCTGCAGAGAGGTAGCCATTTCATCAGTCCGTGCCGGACAGTGTAGCAGCATCCTTGTATGTCTTGATGCATGGTGCTGGGACTGGTCTTGAGAGCAGGGAGGAGACAGGGTGAGTAGATCTCAGTATCATTGTTTATTTCTCAAAGTGGCTACTGTCTGATGCAGCTGTGTGGTGGCACAGTTTCAGCCTAGATAAGGCCCATTGGCAGAGATCTCTACATGTACAGGGCACACGTTGAGACAGAGCATCGCCGACTAAATCATTGCTGGGAAAAGACAATAATTGTGTTGAAATAATGCCTTGCTTATGAAGGAGTCTTCCAGCTGTGGGCATTTATTATGCCAACTGCGGTAAAGTATTAATTGAACAATGAATTTGGCTCAGATATGCGGTGATGTTATTGCTCTGCGTATGTATTTAAGTCAATCGCAGGGATCTTAGTACAATAGCTTGACCCACACCACTCCAAATTGACCCCTCAATGTAAGGGTCCATGACAAAATGCAGCTCTTGTGCACTTAAAAGAAAATATAAATACGAATGTTAAAGTATCTTAGGTTATTAAAAATGAAAGAAGTCAGTGATGTTTTGTATGGCTTATTTTGTTCTTTTTGTATTTCTTTTCATTTGGACAATGGAAAATCTGAAATCAGATTAATAGTTTTCTAATTGTGTTCTCAGGGCTGCTATGTTTGGGGGTTTCACGTCCTGCAGGGCAGTGTCTTAATTTAAGTTTGCTCCATTGTCCTTGGAGGAGTTGTTGATTTTATTTTGGGGCAGTGGTTTAATGTGGAAACAGATATTTTGGTTTTAGATTTTATAAATTCTTTTGCCAGTTTCAATCTTTTTGCTAAATTTTGAATATCCTTCAGGTGTTGTCTCCTTACAGCACTGAGGAAAGAGAAAGCAGAACTAAACCGAGCTAAGTAAAGAACAATAAGGGTTGACATCAATTTTTTAATTGAAAATGTATCAAGTATGATTGGCATGATCACTGTTCAGTTGTAGGGTAGATACATTCTCTATATAAGGTTTATTTTTCATAAACTGGAACCTAAGTAGGCACCACTATTGTCAGCTTAATGCCAGCGTTGCTTTATAGGCAGCAAATACAAGAACTGCAGCTTCACCTTTCACTGGACTCCAGCACTGAATTATTTACAAAGGAGCTGACTAAAACTGAATGGGCTGCTCTAGCTTTGAGGCTTCCTCCAGAATTTAAGAGATAACATTCTCCAAGCTAAGCAACACCTCCAGCTTCCATAAATTTTCATTTTTCTCATGTTGCAGGAAAGAAAAAATCCAAATTTCAGACTTTCAAGAACTTCTTTGCCAAGAAGAAAAGGAAAGAGCCTCCACCTCCCAGGGGGGAGAGTAATTTAAAACCTAGCCAGTCCAGCAGCGATGTCAGCATCTCTGTGCTCGACACTACTGCGCTTCATTCACCGAAGGAGGTTGGGTAAGCTGGCGGGGAAGGAAAATAAATAAATAAAAGCAGACCTCTCACAGCAGTAGGATGAAAATGTAAGTTGGCCCCTTAGGAGCAACCTCTGTCCAAGTTTGTGCAAAACAAGCCCTAATGCTGATGAAGGAATTTCAGGAATTTCCTCTTTCTTTGCTAGTGCTTCAAAAGCCAGCCTGGAGAGGAGGGGGAGGGCAGCCAGGGGCAGGGGTGATCCAGCCTCTTAGTCTAAAACTGCAGATAGCCCAGATTGTTTTGATTGGTTTTAGTGTTTGAAATCTGTGCTGGAAGGTCTGATCAGCGGCAACTTTAGAAGAGGATGATGGCTGAATAGTGCTAATACAGAGAATATGTGTGAAGTTGAGTTGCTACTTTGTAGCATAAATGGTGCCCTCCCTCATGGAAGTGTATTATCAGTATGAGATTGCTGCTTTAACCTTTTTACGTAGCCATTTAGGTATAGATAACAACTGAAGGCCTCTAGTTTTGTGTCAGCTACCCCTGACGGCCTGTGCACGTGAGTGAGGTTTGCAAGTCCTTAAGGTGTGTCCAGAGCAATTCTCAAATCCCTGAATGATGTTAGTTCAAAAACTTGGTCCACCTATTAGCTTGCACTGCTAACACTGCTTCACTGATAACTTCAGACCATCGAGCTATACAACACTTCCATTGCTCATCTCTGACTGAATCTGGGGTGGGACAACCCTCTGAACATGGCTATGACTCTCACCAGGGGTGTCATGCATCGGTATCTGGCAACGTATAATTTGGCTGTTTTCCAACTCCCCACCTTCCTCACACTCCCCTGTTAGCTACTCAGCCAGGCCTCTCTTTGGATTACCCTAGGTCTGGAGTTGTGGAGCTGGAGACTAACAAAGTGTGACAAAACACCGGTCACATCCTATGTTTTGCAGTGTTTTGTTGGAGGAGACGTTGGACGGGTGTGACACTGGCAGAGGGCATGAATAGGTGACTAGAGTGGGACATGCTGAAATCAGCATTGCTGCCAAATGCTTTGTATCATCAAATAATGCATTTGGTGGAGCTGGATGCTACGTTTCTTCTGGTGGAACAGCTTATAGATGTTACTTTCTCATGGGTGCTTGTTCCTCCTTGCACCACCTTTTCCCACTCTCTGTTGTGTTCATGCAACAGCATCATGGAAATGATCTGGGAATGAAACAACAATCTCTTTATTTTGTTTGTTAGCATAACAGCAACAGAGTAAGTGACCACACAACCAGTCCCCTGGGGTAAGGGGAATTAGAGTGACTCAGCTAACCCAGTCCAAAAGCTTAGGAACAGCTGAGCTTACCCCATCAGCCCATAGGAGGGATCTGGCTTAAAATCAGCTGTCTGCTCCAGAGGCAGTGTGGGTGTGAACTCTTTCTCTTGCCCTTAACCAAGTACTTCAAGTCCAATTGCTGTTTACCTCAGCACTATCATCCAGTGATTAAGAACTGTTTTGCAAGATCAGAGATCAGGAAGTGAGTAAAACCCTTCTGTTTTTTCCCTTAGAGATAGGATTAGATGGACTATCAAAAAAAATTAGAGGATATGTTTGTGCTACTTGAAAACCCTATCATGTCCAGACCCTGCACGGCATAAGCATGCTTTGTAAGTACGTAGAGAAACTGAACAACATAATCCTTTGGAAAACCTGATCCTGAAAGCCAGTGGAAATACAACTTGTGAAGGGTTTATAGCAGGGCCCTGAGCTTTGCAATTTCTGGCACGCAGAATATCAAAACCAATCCTAGAACAATGCTGTTGTTTGTTTGTTCTTGAGGCAGAAGCACTGGTTTTCTTTTTTTCCTTCTTTATTTTTTTAAACCATGTAATCTTTTTAAAATCTAACTTTTCTGAATAGTAACCAGAGACCAAACCCCCAGATATGCCAAATGCTTCTTGTAACAGCCAAAGGGATGTGCCCAGATGTCAGGGGGCTATAGGGAATCAATGGGATTGGGCATCTGTGAAGGGGAAGGGAGCATTATGTGCCACTGCCTCTTTATCTTCCGAGGGGCATGTGTTTTGAATTGAAATGGAACAACCATGATGGCAAAATTAAAGCATGTGCCATGGACAACTTATTGTCTGTATCATCAAAAGGATAAAAGACCTTACGTAGAGGAAAATTGGGTCCCAAACAGTCTTATTCCAGTTAAAAAAACTTTGAGCAGAAAAAATTCCTGGGACGATATGGAAAATTGTCCTGGTCTTTGTAATGAATACTCACTCCTTTGGCAGGCTGCAGTTGTTTTTGAGAGAGCAGCTACCTGAAGGAATTATGTGACCTTTCTTTCCCCTACCTGAAACACTAATAAAAGGAATGGGGTTGCGGCAGTAAGAAGTGGAAGATAGCACAGGCCATGATGAGCTTAGGAGCCACTTTATAGCTGGCTGTAGAGTCCCATCGTTTCGTCAGTCATGGCAGCTCAAGTGTTGCTACACATGAATGAATTGAGCATTTGTATAGGGAAATCAGTGTGGAGATACAGTGGCTAAAACATCTGGGGGTTTAGCTAACAGTGCATCTTTAGCTTCAGTGCAGATATAAACACACTGCCTGGAATTACAGGTGAACGTATATTTGCATATAAGAGACTCATCTGTACTAAAGCTGCAGTTAATTCTATATTTAATCCAATGCTCTTTTTGTGACTGCCAGAAGAAAATACAGTAATTCTCTTGCAAACACCTATGATACATATGCAGAGAGAGAAAGAAAGAAACAGATCTTGTACTGGCAGTCTCAAGAACAAGGAAACCTCAGCTCTTATTGCTAAAGAATTCCAAGTAAAGGAAGTGAGGAAATTCCCAGTTAAAAAGGTTAATACCTCCAAATGCACATGCATTCTTTGCAGTAAATAAAATATGCCAACTAATAATGAATATACATTACAGTAAATAAAAGTTGCTTGACACTGTCTTTCTGAATGCAGTAAAATTGTCTTGCCCATATAGAGTGTCTTTCATACTGAAAAGGGCTCTAAAATGAAACACGTGAAAAGATGGGATAGCTTCATTCACTCTAATGATGAAATAAGGCATGTGCCTTACTTGCGTGTAGAACTGCTGTCTTATAAACTAACGCAGACATTAACTATTACATATAATGGGAGGAAGCACGAACTCTGACCTGTGCTGTGGGAGAACGAGCTCAGATTGTGTTCGACACAACATAAACACAGAGCAAAATTATTTTGTCCTACTGTGAGACGCGGCATAACTGTATACTGATTGACTATACCTTTGGGACAACAGGAGGGTTAGTCAAGCAGACAAAGGAGATGTTGTCTTCGGAGATGTAAAGAAGGGAGGTACAGGAGGAAAAAGAGTCATTTGTTTGGGGTTTTTTACATGGTGTATTTACTTTAGGAAAGTTCACAGCCTTTCAGGGCTTTCTTTTAAAAAAAGAGAGAATCTGGGGTTAGGCAAATAGCAGAGACCTCTTCTATTTGATTTCCTTGCAGAAGAGTGTTAGACTTACTGGATTTTCCTTGTCAGAGTTCTGTTCCTAATCATCCCCTGTTACCCAGAGTCAAACTTTCAGAGGCAATGAGCATTGCCTGCATGGCAGCTGAGCCAAGGAATCCTTATAACTTGTGGGTTATGAGGCTAGCAGCCAACAACATGAGAGTATTCTCTGTTGTTTTCCAGTTAAGTGCTAGAATGAAATCCTGGTAGAGACCATCCTTGTGGTCTTTTGGACAAAGTAATGTACAGACAGTGCCTGCCTATGCTGGTGGAACTTGGTGGATAAAAGATTTGGAGCCTTCCTTGTCGTGCCACCCAAGTGCAAAATTTTCCCTGCACAACCTAGTAGCCCAACCCCAGTCAATCTCAGCTGATTATAACTCAGTTAACAGCTGAACACCCAGTGAGCACAGAAGCAAAGCAGGAATATCTTACCTGGGTACTTTAACTGTGGCCATGGACACTTGTCCCATCTACATTTTTTAATATGCTTGGGATCTGGTGATGTTCATGATACAGGTGAACAGAATTGTTTTTATTGCTGGACCTTAAAGTATTTGAATCAAGTTTCCTAATGCAGTGGAATTACATTTTCTGCCTGCATTTGCAAGAAGGGGAAAAATAATCCACAATCTGTGGCAGGTATGACACACACCAGGCTGCAAATGTTGTGTCCTGAATGTCTTATGCTGGGTACATTCCCACCAAAGGAGGGCAGGGGACTCCTGTCGCCCCCCTCTGCGCTGTAAACATCTCTCAGGGTGGCATGCATCCAACTAAATCTCAGCATCTGGCCTAATCACCCTGGACTCCCTCTCTAGTCCACAGAGACTGGTGTGTGTGTTCAATGCAGATGCTGAGTACATCTGAAAAGAGACACCTGCATTCGATCAGCATCCTAAAAAGTGTTTCTTCCTCCCTTCTGAGTATAAAAGGAGCTAGCAGTGACTACCTTAGGCAGCTAACATGCAGAAATCTGAAGTTAAGTGAGATGCATCCCACCCTGGCCTCTTTATGATCCCTCTGCCCTGGTGAAGTGGTGCAGGGAAGTGTTGGAGGGCTGTACCCACTGCATTGACCACTCTTGCTTCCTTCCCAGGCCCAAAGGAAGCATGGGAAACAAAGCTTTGTCCCATGACAGCGTCTTCATTTTTGAGTCTGCACCAGGAAATGTGGCAGGTGACATGTTGTCTCAGGAAAACATACCAGGAAGAGTGAAAACTTTGCAGGTGAGAACATTTGCCCCTCATTCATGGTGCTGCTTTGTATTAGCTGTATCCTAGGAAACTCTGTTGCTTGATTCCTCTGCTGTGTGCCTTAAGACTTTGCTGACTAAAGTGTCCAAAGCCAGATTTACTACTTTTGGATCTATTCTGCCTCTTGGAAGCTGCATCTTTGAGCAGTCCTGGTACTTTCAGCCTTGCCCAGGTCTCATAGTGTGCAAGTGACATGAATCCAGTTCACGGACTCTTGGAAACTTTCCTTAATGAGCATGTCCTCTTCCAGTGGAATGTCCATTCTTTACTTCATAGCTACTGCTTTTGGGTTAAGTCCATTTATTTATACTGTAGTGTGTCCCTTACACTTATTCTTTATATATTATTTATATGTTATTCTTTTTGGCAATTCTGGGTGTGATGTTTTCACTGTACATGCTAGCACCAGTGGCTGTGTAAGTGTGTGGGATGATGGACATGTCAGGGCACGCTTAGTGACAGCTTTATTTATATCATTAT